GTGCTGCCGACAGTATTCTTCATGTATAGGGAAGCGTGGTGGCTTCTGTCCCGCCTCCCACGTTTGCCTGGTGTGCTGGCAGGATGCTGCAGGCCACCTGCTTGGAAGGCTTCTGCACTACATCAGGCAGCCTCCCTGGCCCTCGGTACACGTGTCTGACTTTACAACCTTCCTCTCGTGATCCAGAAATGGGTTGTTCCTCGTGCTGTGCACGAAACTCAGGCCTGTTCTGAACCACCTTTTTCAATCTTTGTTTCTTATGTCTTACACTTCTGCTGGAGTCAGTAGCAAAATTTACATGTAATGTAGCAGAGTTAGCCTTGATAAGAGCAGGAAGGGGAATCTTTATATTAGAGGTTGTATTTTTATCCAACAATGAAATAAATAGTATTCAACCCCAATGATTTTCCTATTTTTTTTTTCCTTCAAAACCTTATACTGTGTTAACTCAATGATTTTGATTTCTTCTAGTGACCTATTAAAAAATATCTTTTTTTAGCTTACCCAAAATTGAAATAATAAAAAACATACAAATAAGAGAACAACCAGAGGCTAAAATGTCAATAACAAATACGTAGGAAGGCCTGTCAGAATAAGCCTTCATACTTGAGATCCGAGTCTGAAGTGTCTGGATATGAGCAGCTGCCAGGTTTAATATTTAACATTATGAGCAATACTAAATATATTGACTAAGCACAGAGGACTTCAGTCTAGCTCAGTGTACCTTATTGCCCTTTGACCTTTCACAAGATTTTTTCCAGAATCACTTCTTAATGGGAAAAGGTGTGCAACCTTTTATTTTGAGAAGTGGGGAGAAATTTAGAGACTCACTTGATTTCAGGCATCTTTAAGAAATACAGATGACAGTAAGACTGATTTATGAGGAACAATCTTGTTTCCAGAGAACATATTAACCAGTTATATAAAAATATGTGATTAGTTTGTAACATTTGTCTTCATTAGCTCTCATTACACTTTTTCAGACAGTATAAAAGCATTGTGAGTTCCACTTTACAGATGGTGTAACTGAAACACAAGTGGGATAGACAACAAGCGATACATAAATGCTTGAGATGTGGTTGGGAATGCAGAAGCATTTTTTAAAAGGTAGGTAGTTTTGGAGTCTACCTTCAATGGGATTTGGCAGCTTGCACACTTCAACAACTCCTACGAGCTTCCAGTCTTTAGACACCTAAATAACTTTAGAATCTACCTTAAAGTGACTCACCTGGTGCTTCTTCAGAGGCTAGAGGTCCCTAAGGGAGGGTATTTTATCTGCTACAGTACTTTTTTCCCAGGCCACTTTTTTCCTAGTCCTAATCGAGTATTACAGGAACGTTTTTGTTTGAACATCTCTGCAATGTTATCTTCTTTTTAACCTTGCAAATGCATCTCTCTCTCATTTTGTACTGTTGCATTATGTGTGAGGTAGATTTGTCCATTCATTTTGGGACAAAGGCTGGTTCTAATGTCGAATGCAAGGAGCAAAGCCATGCACTGGGCATTGCAAACACTGGAAATGAAAGGCACAGCAACCCATCCATTCTCTGTGCCCATTCTGCTCTGCAATGACTTCTTTCACACCTTACTTATATGTGGGCAGGTTGTGCAGTAACTGAGGATGCACAAGCCTGAAGCAGATGTTGTGTGAGCACATGGGGTCCAGGAGCAGCATGGCCACATTCCTG